CGTGTGTGTGCGCGCATATATATATATATATATATATATATAATATGTATTTAATCAAGAGTAACATAATGGTGGATACATAGTGGATATAACAACATAGTGGATGAGACTGAACATCATAAAATATCATACTATATATGCATCATATCTGTTTTTTCTGTACCATATCTTATCATCCTGCTCTTGATAATAGAGACATAGCCTATCTATTATGTTACCCCTGATTCATGTTGGAATTTTGGATAGGCCTAGCCATATTTTTGTATGAAATAAAATTAACCATATAATGAAAACGAGCATATCCGCACAACGCTTCTTCCTCGGTGAGTGTTTACAGCTAATAAAATATTATTGCGCTTATGTGCACTTATTTCCCTCGTGATGTATAACCATCTAATTAATTAGTAATTCACACGGCAATCCATCCATTAGATAATACGTCAGGTCCGTAATTGACATAACGACATAACATAGTTTCGTTATACACACAAACGCAACACTATGTGCAAATGCACATTCCATTCATTCGGAAAGAGGAGAAATGAGTACGTAATGGTTTTCCACCGCCACCGTAAAACGTGAAATGCATGGTTAAATAGTATGAGCAGAAAAGCAAGAACGCCTCAATCGAATTAGTATTGGCATCAACTTGCATCAAATCAATAGCGTAAATATTCGTTGGCGATTACTTATTCATAAAGATGTTTTATATTTCCTCTTGAAATATTAATCTACGATTCAACAATGCGTCGGCTGCAAACGCGTTTTTATTTCCCTTTAGCTATTTTTTCATCGTAGAAACAAATTATGGCTTGCAAGTTCAAGGATTAAGTAAATGTCATCAACTACTTAAATTTCAACTGCGGCCATATTAAGCACATACGCACGTCAAAGATTAAATTTTATCAAACTACGAAAATGCATTCTTACTTATTCCCTTCAAGCAACACTATGCATTGCGGCGCCATTAATGAAAATGGACGGGAAACAGTGCGCCATGGCCTCTAATTAAGGTAGCCATGTTTTCGGCTAAAACGCGCAACTTAGAGACACCATTATTTCAGCCAGGAAAGCTCTCCCGCAGGCATTGTCTCCACCGCGGTAGTTAATAAAATTAGAGCGAAAGCCGAATGTGCAGGTGATAGTGATCATGCAGTAGCTCCAGGTACGGAGGGAAAGATTTTATATACGCACCTGATAGATGATGTGAGTTTCGGCGAGCTCTTTTGGGAAGTCACGTGGGTAGTGGGGACACATGATGTTCACCCTGTCGCCGATCTGCACGTCGATCACGTGATCCGTGTTGTCCGTGCGAAATCTGTAACAATAATAACGAACGAATGATTATTCTGCACCGTTAAATTTGACACAAGCTTGCAGTATAGTATTATGATGCACTCATAATTTCCGCATAAACAATTATGATGCGGAAAACTGCTGCATCTTTAAATTCTGTATTATCCAGCAGTATTCACTATACCGCATCCCAATTCAATATTAGCATCCAATATATTATTATATTGCATCCTAATTCATTTTGCCTGCAGTATGTCACTATACTGCATCCTGATTCTATATTTGCCTGCAGTAAGTCACTATCCTGCATCCTTATTACATATTAGCCTGCACTGTGTCATTATAGGTCTATATAGGTCTGTGTGATTATAGGCTACAATACTGCATCCTAATTCTATATCGTCTTACAGCGTGTAGGTATAGTTATAGGTAATGTACCCTAATTCTTTGCAGGGTCACCTCCGGATTGACTTGCAGTGCGGCATTATGGCGGAGCCTAATTCTAGGTTAGCTTACTCTGTTTTAAGCGCCTGCTAAGCCATGCATACGCATTAACACACGTAGGGAAATATGTATAGTTGGGTCGAGCTTCTACATGAAAATACACACGGTACACACATACATATGCACATAATGTGGAAACAAAGCGCGAATAGGCTGTCAATCAGCTGTTTTGACACACAAGTGAATCACATTGAGAATTAAATCCGACAAGGAGCCGGTCTGGGGAATCAGTATCGCGGCGAGTAATTCTGAATATTGAGCCGCAATATTTACAGGAAACGACAGCGGCAACATGCAAACCATTTGGGCAAATTAAACTCTCTCGCACACTCGAGTATAGTTACTCGCTCTCTGCCACACCGACGTGTGTCTATCACGATGGCAGTTCGCAGCGGGAAATCAATGCTGCGAATGCTAACAAATGTGCATCTAGACGAAATTAGATCCAAATCAATTTCGGCATCGGCGTCCAAACATTTGCGCCGAAATCTTGTGGCGGGGTGTGCCGCCGCGCACGCACGCACGCACGCACGCATCTCGACGTCCAGAAACCACTCAAGAGAAATGCACTCAAGCTCGTGTTACTAAAACTATATGCGGCAAATAATGCGCTTATTTTCCAAATGGCACACGCCAGAAAATGAGCGCCGTAGCAGCGGAGACTCTCTCTCTCGCACTCTCCTTCTCTCGCTCCCCCCTCTCTCTCTCTCTCTCTCCCTCTCTCTCTCTCATCAGATAAATGACTCGACAGCACACTAACGGCGGCATTTTCCCGTCGCGCTGCATATTGCAACAATCCCGAAGAAATCGAATTATGAGGGGAACGCTCCCTGCATATATGTCACGTCCAGTTTTAGATGGATTTCCCCCTGCGGCAGCAGCGAGTGGTTCACCCCACCCACCCCACCACGATCGATGCTCGAGCTCCGTACCACCCACCCGCTGAGATGTGGCGACTCCGCAGCCGGCCCACCCACCCCCGCGGCAACCCCGCAAATGGTGTACAATCATGCAAACCGCATTTTATGGCTTATTACCCGGTATAATTGCACTGCTACACACTGCTGCTTCTGATTTCAGGCGGCTGAACGGTATAGATTTATCTAAAAGCTGCTCTAAACGCCAGTGAATGAACGAACAGCAGTGAATGAACGAACAGCAGTGAATGAACGAACAGCAGTGAATGAACGAAATGTAAGATAGATCGTCTAAGCGAAAATAAAGGTGACCATATGCACCAGTCAATGCATCACCTTCCTCTCACTACTACTACTACCACCACCACAGCAATCTTCTTCCACTCGGTCATCACGAGGTTAGATGCGTTCACCTATATAGTGGTCCATAAACCTCTAATGACCATTTCTGTTTATTTACATTGCACTGAAGTGCTCTGCGTGCATTTACGGCAACGACAAAGAAGAAAAACACACAATATACATGGCCGGCGTATAGTATATATATGTTTTAGCGAAACGACCGCTCGACATATACGCGCGGGTTGCTGTTGGCAGCTTAGTCGAAAGTAATTTGCAGGAACACAGTAATCCACACTATCGCAAAATCATTTGTGACAGAGTCTGCGAACGTTTGCGCATTCGATACTCCCAATATCTCCAACAACGTAGCGTCGCATACAACGAGTTGTTGTTTTCCAATCACCACGATCTCTCACGTGAAAAAAAAACGAAAAAAACGGGGGAAAAAACTGAAGAAAAAAACGAAGTACCTGATTTTACACTCGCGTCAACCCTCCTCTAATATAGTCTACGACGGTCACACACGCGACTCAATAAGAACACGCAGCTACAGCACGTCATAGCTTCTCCGTTGCAGCCCCTCCAAGCCACGGGTAACCTCAACACAAGCCCTACGACGTGCTACTATAATTCGTCACGCATACATTACTGGTAAACGCACAAAGAGTCGACGGACGAGACTGCTTGCTTCGCCCGCAGGCACGTACATGTACGACCACAACACCTGACTATAGTAAGCCCCCACAACAGGGCAGACTGAAGTTTAGTCGAGTAAAATGGCCTACCCTTGCTCCGTTCACTAGCGAAGGCACTGTTACAAGCCATTGAGGGCACGTACCACCTCCGCAGTACACCATGCATAATGCATGCAGGCCGCCTTTCATCACTATCAAAACTACAACTATAACCTTTGCACTAGTTCCTCGAAACTTGCGCTATCAGGCTGCATGAACGTACGTACGCACGTTCACGCTTATAAGTTTCTACCAAAATTTCTCGATAACCGATACCTTGTTTTTTCCCGGATAACCTCGCTGTCTACCTACAGCCTATCCATCGATCCTATATATATCGACCATCAAATGTCATCTTAATTACAAGCTACATGCTAAATTATACATAGAGGCAAGCGCTCACGCAGCAAATGACGTCTCATTAAATAGACCCCCGATGTCTATGCCGCTTGTTTAATTTTATATGCATTCACGTCAATACTATATAATCATATATATAACTAAAGCACTCGGAGAGCGCAGACCTCTGCCAAGGCAGCTTAATTCTCTCACTGTGAAAAATTTAATTAATTATTTAATTAATTAAATAATTAATTGGATCCGGATCACCAACAAAATGTAATCAATTCTAAGTTACCCCATTTCTGACCTATCCTAAAAATTTAATTAACTAATTAATTGGATCCGGATCACCACCAAAATCTCATGAATTCAAAGTTAGCCCATTTCTGACCTATCCTTTAAAATTTTATGCACCAATCCGTCATAACTTTTTTCAGTTATGCTGTACACAAAACAACGCCCACAAAGCCCACAAACGAAACAAACACACGCCGGTGAAAAAAACATAAAACTCGGTCTCGTCCCTGGCCAACTCGCCTTGGCGGAGGTAAGTACATTCCTATACCTATCAAGTCTAGTGTTACGTATAGTATTCTAGCATCATTATAATGTATATATATTTATCCTATATTCTTATTATGTTCTCGTTTCTCAGCCTCTGCACCTATCAAGTCAAGTGTTACGTATAGTATTCTAGCATCATTATAATGTATATATATATATTCTTATTATGTTCTCGTTTCTCAGCCTCTGCACCTATCAGTCTAGTGGTTACGTATAGTATGTCTAGCATGCATTGTAATGTATTATAGCATATACTCTATTATGTTCTCGTTTTCTCAGCCTTCTGCACGCTATCACGCTTTTAGTGTTCACTATAGAATGCGCTAGATCATTTATAATCAGAAGGCTAATAATGACAAATTGTCATTATTAGCTCCTGTTATAAATGTTATATTATTCCATATAGCTGTTCTTGTTTCTGCAGCCTCTGCTCCCATATCGGGGACGCGGCCTCTTCGTTGTTACCTATAGCATCCCCCCGCCACGCGGAGCGCGCGCTGGCGATGCTAAAGCGGCCTCCGTCCTACTGTAGAACACCTGCCAGGCGCGAGGCTGGCCGCCGCGGCCGAATCTTGCCAGCTCGTGCGACCGGTGGGCAGGCGGCGCAGCCGTTGTTGCGCTAATTAGTAAGACGCTGCTCTTAGCGCCCCGCATTTCACACAATGCACGCGAATCGACTCTCGGCTCGAGGTGGCACAGGGCAGCAGCAGCAGCTCTCTCTCCTCTCACTCTCCATCTGCTGAGAACATTTTCGTGAGTATGGACGGCCGCCCGTCGCGCAGCACGCCATTCTGTGCCCGCCAAGCCTCTCTTGGCCGTGCTGTTTTACGTTGGCACACATCTCACGCTAAAATTTGAATTGGAGTGCCATTCTTTCAGCAGGCCGGCGACTATCGGGGGATTTTCCCTTCTGGTCGGCTCACACTTACTACGAAAAGCCGTTCCTGTTTCCGAGAGCGGCACCAGGTGAGATCAAGGAACCGCACCTCGAGCCCAGACAAATTACGGCACGATCGAATGCAGCAGGGTAAAACAAACAGGTCATTGTGGGGGCATTCTTGTCCGGCGAGCGGGTGTTGACCGCACCGACGGCCACCGTCCGCTATTCTTGTATCGACGCGTGCGCCGCACAAAGGAATACAGCGGGGCAGGCGTACACAACAAAACTCACTAATGCCAGGTCTGGCTCGCTGTCTTCGCGCGCCGCACCGCGCCCCTCTCTGGCAATCGTCACTGCCCGCTCGCGCTGAGCGTCACGGGGAATGGCGGATCTCCGCGGTCGTTTGAACTGCAGGAAATCGGCGCGCAACCGTGCCAAAATTTCGCGCGAAACAACTACCGGGAACCATTCTCCGTGATTCCGCCGCGCTCCTTCCTGCTGGCCCTGCCGCACCCTCCTTCTCCTGCCTCCACTCACGCAAACATGGAGCAGGGATCCGAACGATGCTGTATATTTTACGGTCACGTTTTCACACACCGAAAACTCCAATAGTTTGTCGGCCCTTCTTATAGACAGGCTGTTCGTTTAATACGAAGCCGGTTTGTCACTGTCGTGTTGTCACTCAATAGGCGATGCAACCCAAAAATTCCCCTTCATAAGCATACCTCTTTCATTTCGT